TTTTTATGAGAGTATAACATTATAACATGATATAAAACTCAAAAAAGTTGATTTTACATGATATTGCCACTTTAAAACTTCACCTTACAGTTGTATACTGGCTTCGTGAGGTCCTGCTGGCTAAAACGCTCTGTGTTCAGGCTGCTAGAGTTGGTTTAATCCTGGCTTTCTCTATTATAAACCAAAGTGTCCTACAGCAAGACTGAAGCCTAAGTTGGCCCCAGTTTATGCATTGGTGTGTGTTATGGTGGATTGAGGGAAATGATAGCACTATACAGTAGATGTGTTTTTTTCCTGTCTGTCAGCTCATAGTTMGAAGTTTACAGGTTTAACTCCTGGAAATGGATGGATGTCTTTAGCTGACTTCTTCTTCTTCTGTTCTGTGTGAAAATCAAACCATAATCAGGAGCATCAAGCCTCAAAGTGATGCTGAAGAACTTGGTCCCTGCTTTCACCTGTTTTAGATGGGTGTCATAAGATTTATGGAAAAACTGTTCAACTTAACCAAAACATTGTGGCCAGAAAGCTAAAGAAACTGTGTTTAAGACCATGAACAGACCAATTCTGTCCCACACCAAGGACCTGATCAGTCACTTTGCTTTTAGTTTTAGGGCTTCTGACCGAGAGAACCAGCTCCAAGTCCAAGGACAGGACTTGGGCCCCACTTATATCGTTTTCAATGTTTTTTTTACTTTTCTGCTGTTTGTATGTTTTATTTGCAAGCAGCTGAGAAAATACGAGTTTCCTCAAAATACTTTCCAAAGTGGAAACTTAAAAAAAAAAYGTATAAAAACTGGACAAATCCTGCTTTTGAGGGGGAAAAAATTATATAAGGGCCCATTTAATTAAAAAAAAAAAGCTTTCATCACAAACTTTAAATAGTTTTAATTCACAAATGACCACGTGAGGAGAAATRTGTAACGTTTGATTTGATGGGTTGATTGATTCAGAGATGTTGTTTGAGTCAACACTCAGTCTGTTGTGTCACAATTTAAAACACTCTGACAGCACGTGGTTTAGGGATAGGGGGTTATAAACTATTTCTAGAAGTGGAAGAACCTAAATCAGTTTTCAGATGTTAAAAAATGGATTTTGTTCACAATAATCTGCGCTGCTGCTGTAGGAGTCGGTTCCTGCAGTAGCTTCACTAAAGTTTCCTGTAGTAAAAAATGCGTAGCAGTAAAGCTGAGAGGTTTTCAGAAGAATATCTGTCTCGAAATAATAACTAAAGTTATCAGAACATGACTGTTTTTAGTGATGATGGAAACATTTGATTTGTGTATAAATCTTTTGTGATAAACACGATGCTAACTGAATTAGCTTCCTCATGGCTTTTTCAATGCTAAGTTAGCATCTATGGTAATTGTTGGTCTGTGATTAAAAGGTTTTTTTTTTTATATGTGTTGCATCAAGAATGAGAACATCCTCATCTCTGAAAGAGTGACCGCTGGCCTCATTTCACTCATTTACAGGCCAGCGGTCACTCTTTCAGAGATGAGGATGTTCTCATTCTTGATGC